GGAAATGACTGCTGCCTGGAGACCGCAAACCTGCTGAAGCCCTGGGCGCTGGGCCGCCGGCAGCCCCAGGCAGCCAAGCTGCGGGTCCCTGCGCCATTCAGCAAAGCCTGCCTGCTTTGTGAGCCAGGGAAAGGGGCTAAAGGGGTGTCTCCAGGCTGGTATTACTTGGGACCAGTTGACTTCCACCTCTTTGGGTGACCAGCTTCAGGGCTGTGGTTGAAAGCATGGTGAGAGCACATTTTTTTTGCATCCTTCTTACAAGTTGGGATAGCATCAGGCGGCTCTTGGGGGCTTTTGTTTCAGGAACAAGATGATCGCTTGGCTTCCTTTGGGCCACGTTTTCTTTGCATCTCCTGGAGATGCTGTACCCACAGTCCCGCTGGGGTGTCCTGGTGGCAGCATCGCGAGGGGCCTGGGCTGGTTCACTGCGTGGTCTGAGGGACTTCCATCAGCGATGGCCTTGCTTGGGCGGCACCGGGTTTTGTTCCTGCTGTTTCTCGGGTTTTGTTCCTGCTGTTTCTCTCCTCTCCTGCCTCTGGAGCACTAAGTCTCAGGCAGCAGAAGGCTGAACCTGTGCTGCTCCTCCTGAGCGGGAGCGTCTTTGCTGGCCGGTGGGCGAGGACCAGGGTGCAGAGAGGGAAGAAAACAGCCCCAGGGAGAAATACCACGGTGATATGAGGCTTTCTCAGGGCTGCAAATCCCCCGGTGCTGGGTGAGAGCAGGCAACCGCTGCCAGCAACAAGGAGCCCTGCCTGCACCCTGGAGTGAGACCCCAGGACCAAGGGATACTCAGCCATGGGGGGGCTCGGACCCTTGACCCCCGCTCTGCAGTCGGGCACCAGACCCGCTTGGCCATGCCATCCCCACTGCGCATCTGACACAGCGCTGCCCGCCCGCGCCCCCCCGTCACACCGGCCTCTCCCACTCCGACACCGCTGGGATTTGCACCCTACACCCCCCATACTCCCCACGCCTTGGCGAGCTCTCCAGGGGGCCGTGGGTGGATGGAGCTGGGCAGCTGCTGCGTTCGCCACTTCATCTGCCGGCTGCTGCCGCCCGCCATACTGGGAAGCTTTGCACACCCGCGGAGCACAAGCGCTCTTCTCGTGCAGCCCTTTCTCTCCAGCACGTCCCTGGTCAGCTTTCGTTTGATGGACACATCGGAAAAGACATGTTGGCTGAAGCTGAGCTGAACGTACCCCGGGAACCACCATGTCCCCAAAACCTCCCGTGTCCGCGGAAGAGGTTAAAATACCTCCCTGCCCTGCATCCAGCTTTGGGAAACTCTTCTTTAGGATTAGATGAGAAACGCAGGGTTTGGGGAGAAGCAAAGCTGCACCAGGAGGAGAACACAGGAGGTGTTACTGAAATAAACAGGAGCTTAACAAGGCCTGTGGTGTTTCTCGTTGCATCACACCGTTGTGCTGTAGTGGAGCTACGTTACAGCGGGTGCCGTCACCGGCAGCTCATTGACACGCTGACTACCACGCTGAATGCTGTCATGGGAAAGAACGAGCTGTCTCCAGGGTCCCGGCTGTCCCAGTCCTTCCTCCTTCACCAGCGATGCCTGACCCTGGGAGCCAAACACTCCTTCCCTCCTGCTTAAGGCTCATACACAGCCTCGGCTGGATGTGACGGTCTTGGCTTTGCCTTTCCGTGGGGCCGTGGCAGGGAAGGCCTGGACTCGTGTATCCCTGGCAGCTGGAGGGGGAGGGTGACCCCAGTTCCTCTGCGTCAGGGGGGTGCGGGTGTCTCCTGGATGGTGTCTGCTCTTTGTATTTTAGGTTGCATTTGTGTTCCGAGTTGCTGGCATCCTCAGAAGCGTGGCTTGAGCAGTGGGCAGCGAAGCTGGTGGCAGGAGGGGAAAGTCGCCACTCCGGCCTGCAGGATTCCTGCACAGCACGCTCTCCATCAGCACACACGGGGTAAATTGAGGCTGGGGGGTGTCTACGATGACCCGCTGGCAGGCGGGGTCCCATGGGGGGAGGAACCCCGCGCCCACTCACCCCCATCGCCAGCATTGGGCCAGGAGGATCAGCTGCAATCCCAGGACGGACAGGTGCGTGGGTGATGCGGAGGGGGTGGCGGGGGATACCCCCGGGACCCCACCGGTGTGTGTCACTGTCCCCAGAGCAGAGTTATGGGGGACCACGTGGCCTAATGGATAAGGCGTCTGACTTCGGATCAGAAGATTGAGGGTTCGAGTCCCTTCGTGGTTGTTTTAAAGCCACGAGAGATCCTCGAGTCATTTAACTTCCACTTCTCCCCCCACTTGGGGGGCCAGCGATCAATACCACGTGGGCTGCGAGCATCCCCGGGGGTATCAGTGGGGCAAATCTCGAGGGAACGTGCCCGTGCTTGGGGCAGCTTTGGGGTGGGATCTGCCCTGCAAGTCCCTGGGGATCTCCTGGCCGCGGGATTCGTGCCCCCACGGCGGGGCAGCCGCCCAGGGCGCCCTGTCCTGGGGGTGGAGGCGAACCGGGGGCTGAG